CGACTCCGCTTCCAGCCTTGCGGTGTCGTTTTCTTTCCAACCAGCTCCGTTTGTTTTTTCTTCCGCGACACTGTTTATTATTAAACACTGTCGTTTGCTAATCCGCGGTACCGTTGGGCCTACTCGCGGTACCGTTTTAACTCTCCGCGATACCGCTTGTCTCCATGCGGTACCGATTTTCCCCTTCCAACAAGGAATAAAAATATTAATTAATTATAAACAAAACTCCTTCTCCAACACCTACACTGCGCGGCCCCTCTCCAGTTCCGCAGTACCGCCGAGCTTCCTCGCGGCACCGATTTTCTGTTTCGCGGTACCGTTTTAACTCCCCGCGGTGCCGCTTCTCACAAGGAATAAAAAATAATAATTAAACAATTAAAGACTCCTCCTTCAACCCCATTAAACACACGACCCTCTTTTTTTTATTTTCGGCAAGCGGTGTCGTTTCCAGCGTTGCGGTACCGTTGAGATTCCTTGCGGTACCGTTTTAGTTCTCCGCGACACTGCTCGACTCCCAACGACACCGTTTTTTACCCACGGTATCGACTTAAATGCCGAGACTAATTAATGCGGCATTTAATTCCGGCCAAATTAATTTTACGTGTTAACAAATGCCCCCCACAATTTGGTTTATAAGAATTATGAACCAAATTGTTGATCAAATAGTATAACACCTAAAATACTTGGCTCACAATGTTTAAACGAAATAAACACGTTGGCCAAAGTTAGCAATGAAGTCTTTAATTACCAATTATATAACCCTTATGCATGGCCAAATGATTTTGGCCACCAGCATAGCGGCCAATTGCAACAACGCGGCCAAACTCATCTTTTTTTTTTTTTTTTACCAGCGCTGCAAGCATTAATTAATAACAATAATAATTTTTTTTTATTTACTAAATGCGGCCGGTTGTGCAGCCCTGTTCCGCGTCCAAACAGCCCTGATTTTGATTTTTGATTTTTTTTTTTCGGCTATCATTATTCTCCATCAGCTCTAAAAAAAACTTTTTTTTTCTTTCAGGGCTGTTGAAACAGCGGGCAGCGCTGTGAAGCTTTTATTTTTTTTTTGTTTTTTCCTCCACCAGCGCTGCAAGCATTATTTCATTACTATTTTTTTTTATATATAAGGGCTGTTACGGGTAGGCGGGCAGCGCTGCATGCAAACTTCCTTTTTTTTTATAGTTCTCTTCTAGCAGCGCTGCATGCTGCCATGCACTAATTTTTTTTTTTTTTTTATCATAGCTGTTTGGCCGCACTCTTTTTATTTATTAATTTTTTTTCCTTTCACTAGCGCTGCTGCTCTCCTCCGCCAGCGCTGATGCATAATTTTTTCTTTTCTTTTTTTTTTTTTTACCAGGGCTGTTTGGCCGCACTCTTTTTATTTATTAATTTTTTTTCCTTTCAGAGCTGCTTGGAAAGCAGCGGCAGTGCTGCATCTATTTTTTTTTTTTTATCAGCGCTGCTGGCATCCGCGGCAGCTCTGCCTGCCAAATTTTATTTTTTTTATGCTTTCCGCTAGGGCTGTTTGGAAACAGCGCCAGAGCTGGAATTTTTTTTTTCTTCCGCCAGGGCTGTTTGGCCGCCCTCTCTACTTTTTTTTCTTTTTTTTTTTATCAATCAGGCCTGGCGGACTCCTTCCCTCAAAGCCGCTAATCAAAAAACTTTTTTTTTTTAAACCAGGCCGCATTTTTTTTAAACCAAAGCGACCCAATCTGAAAATTTAATATTGTTCGCAACGATGCGGCAAGCTTCGCCATGCTACTTTTTATATATATAGTAATTTTCTCGTGACCTAAATTAGCCACACTCTATTTACTTAATAATATCTAAATAAATAAATAACGGCTAGACTTTGGCATAAATCATTATGCCGAAAGTCCACACCCACTGCCAACCCCATGGATCAAACCAAACAAGCCATCCGTAAAGTCCATGATTCATCACAGCTGGCTTCACACGCGTTGGTTTTGATGTTTTGGAATCAATGGTGGTTTGTAGCTCTCCAGTTCGTCGAGCTCGAACACCTTGGTTTGAAATTCCACGAGCTCGATTTGGCTTCATCTTAGCCACAGGGTCGTGGCAGAGCAAATCACCAGTGTTTTTCTTTGTCCTGTCAAATCGACCATGTGGCATCGCTTGCCCAGACAGGTCTGGTTTTGTCAGCTTCGCACTCTCACCATGTCGCTGTGAGTATAAGCACCGATGCTTACGAGCTTCACCGACAAGTGTGTGAGTGTTTTGTTTACCACGACACCTACCACACATCCACATCGTTTCTTTTGAGCTCCCTTGTGATTTTGGAGTTTGTAGAGTATTATACTTGCCCCCCAATCCACCATTCATAGCAGACTTGTTCCTCCTCGACACTGGTGTGGCAACTCCATGTCGGGCTTGCTTGAACTTGCCCCCCACTTCACTCGGTGGCGGCTTTGGGGACAACTTACACGAAAGATCTAGGTAAGTTACACCAACTTTCGTGGCCTTGGGGGTTTTCACGTGATCACCACCTCCATATTGAATAGTGTTTGTGGCAACCCACATATGCTTTTTCCTAGAACAGGGTGGATGTGGCAAACTGCTTCGCCACTTGTGATATTGTTTCTCCTTCAACCCGCCTTGTAGTGGGATCTCATGCCCCCCTAGCGGTTTAGATCAAACATCATCGTGATGTTGGATTGACAACACATCATATGTGAGTTTTCCGTGCTCAACGTGCTTGTAGCCAGGTTCTCCACCCTGATTCTTATTTTCATTCTTATTAGAAGTGCGTTGATACTGGCTTCTTTGTGGTGGTTTCTGCAAGCCACCTCCAACTTGCGTGTCCTTAAGAACAGTGTTGTTCACGGGAAGAGACACTTTGGATTTGTGCGCTTCTGGCAACACTATTGTAGCCAGATTTGGCGATGGAGTTTGGTTGACAATGGCTAGTCCATCAACCATTAAATCATCGCACGCAACAGACATTGTTTCAGATTTAAACACATCAAAATCGTACGTGGCTCTACGTATTGACGTATTAAAATCAGAAACACAATTATCCAATTTATCACATCATTGATCAATATTTTTTTCAAGATTATCCATTTTTTTTTTTCAAGAGAAGTTAAAATGATATTTACCTGTTGGCTATCTCTGTTGAGTTCAGCCACTACTTGGCGGAGTATGAGCATCATCTCACCCTGATCGGAGATTCGTGATTGCACCTCTGCTCCAGCGTTGTTGCTTGAACCGCCAACAGCATCGTCAATCTCGAAATTGACCATTTGAGCCTCCGCCACGGATCCTTGTCGAAGACCACAATCTTCTTTTCCACGTCGCAGAGCCATGTCAAACACACGTGTCCCACCGGGCGTGCCAAATTGTTTCCTCGGAAAAACCAAATGCCACCGCCGGTGTCAAATTCGTTTCCGGCGATGTTGATTTGATATTTCGCGATGGAAACTCTTGCGGTGCCGTTGATCGAATGCACCACTATCTTCTGACCAAATACCACCGCCGGCGTGCCAAACGACGATGTTGATTTGATCGAATTGATGTGCCACTGACTTCTAATCAAGACGACTGTGACTACAGTTCACACCTCTCCAAACTACGTTCGAACGAGGGTGTTTGAGTTTTGAGGAATCTACGCTACCGCTACTCCTATGGAGATTCCTGTGGAGAGCTCCGCGACTACGACTAAGACTACAACTATGGAGATCCTTCCTGGAAGGAGAGCTCCGCGAAGGAGTTACAGAGAAAAAAGATAAAGTTTGACAGATGTGTTTCTGTGTTGATTTGGTTGTCTCCTTCTCTCTCCTTGCTCCACTGCTTTTATTCGAAAAACTGCTTCGTAGCCTTCACGCTCGGTGGAACCGCTTCCTCAACTGCTCCGTTGTGAAATCCCACGTGTCTCAACTGCCTTGATCTCCTCTTTCTGCTTTGCGTAAAAATCACGTGCCATCGAAACCGCTCCTGTTTGCAGAAACTTGGCAAAACGACATTGAGCCAAATCCTACAACCTTGTCCATGCAACGATGTCGTTTCACCAATACCGCGGCATCACCTTTCACTAATCGATGCTGACAAACAATGTCGTTTTCCATTCCGCGACATAGTTTCTTTTTCAACCAAACGGCACCGTTGTGCTTGCCAGTCCTCGCCAAAATCCAAACCATTGTGGTATGGTTTTTAACTAAACGACACCGCTTAGTGATACTGCGGCGTTGTTGATGCCTTAAACGGTGTCGTTTTTAACTGAGCAGCACCGCTTGATTCTACCCGCGACATCGTTTTAACATTAAACGACTCCGCTTCCAGCCTTGCGGTGTCGTTTTCTTTCCAACCAGCTCCGTTTGTTTTTTCTTCCGCGACACTGTTTATTATTAAACACTGTCGTTTGCTAATCCGCGGTACCGTTGGGCCTACTCGCGGTACCGTTTTAACTCTCCGCGATACCGCTTGTCTCCATGCGGTACCGATTTTCCCCTTCCAACAAGGAATAAAAATATTAATTAATTATAAACAAAACTCCTTCCCCAACACCTACACTGCGCGGCCCCTCTCCAGTTCCGCGGTACCGCCGAGCTTCCTCGCGGCACTGATTTTCTGTTTCGCGGTACCGTTTTAACTCCCCGCGGTGCCGCTTCTCACAAGGAATAAAAAATAATAATTAAACAATTAAAGACTCCTCCTTCAACCCCATTAAACACACGACCCTCTTTTTTTTTATTTTCGGCAAGCGGTGTCGTTTCCAGTGTTGCGGTACCGTTGAGATTCCTTGCGGTACCGTTTTAGTTCTCCGCGACACTGCTCGACTCCCAACGACACCGTTTTTTACCCACGGTATCGACTTAAATGCCGAGACTAATTAATGCAGCATTTAATTCCGGCCAAATTAATTTTACGTGTTAACAACTGTATTAGGTTGTATGGTGTGATGTGACCATCTATTTTGATCCTCTATTGGGAAAGAAATCAACCACTTGTTTCTCACAAGTGGCCAACAAAATTGCACAATCCCCACAAATTCAAGTTATGATTTACTTACTTTTATTATAACCAATCACGTTCGTAGACAATAATACTCAGATAAGAGACGATTATAACTATACTGGTATGGATGAGACTATCAAGTATCATGACATGCCTTGCAAATCAAACACGATAGCCCACCAAATACAACAAACAAAAACCTTTTCCATCAATCCCTTAGGTGTTTTTGATTAATCTAATTACTGGTTGTTCAAAACGCTGCAACGGAGGGACATGTAACATGCTCCAATCCAACCACACCACAACAAGACTGCCTCGACCAGCAGAAAAAGAGACCTCCCCGCCTACAGATCTGCAGGGCCTTTGATGTCCTGCATACAGAAATTGTACTGTTAGGCGTTACTGAAACCAACCCGCCATGCCTCTTCCCGCAGAAAAAGAGACCTCCCCGTCTAATCAGTAATCACAACCATCATACATTTACATATTAAAACCAAAAAACTTGCACGAACCGGGCGGTTCATTTCATCTGTACCTTGTTCTCAATTACTGAACCATCGGGGATTTCCAGCTTCTCCCCAGCTGTTATGGTTACCTTCCCCTGCAAAAGAGGTAGGCAACAATTGAAAACAACGATTAGGCAAAGTCCAGTAACCATGTCGCTTAATACATGCAAACCCACTTTCACCTAACATAAGCACACCCATCAACATTGGCTTTGCGTTACGTATAACGACAGACCGAGTGTAAGAAAGTGAGACGATACCTTGAGCTTAATGCCTACACCAAACCATACATTGCCAGCAACCTTGAGGCTATCAAGATCAATAATGCTGGGAATGGACTTGAATCGGCTCAAGAAATCGCCAACCTGACAGAGAAGCACCAGGAAACTTTAGTCCCTAGCACCCACAACTGAATAGTTAATCTTGAAATGTGATTATTAGTGTATACACTAACCTTCTTGAACTCTGGGCCAAGTTCAATAGAGGGATTCTGAGGATTCTTTCTGGCCTCATTGCGAATGACATATCCATCAACCACAGTGTAAAGGTCCGACTTCATAAGACCACAAATTCAAACCGTTCAGACAAGCAAGCATCAACCCAATGCTTAGCCAAAATTCTAAGAATTCATTGAAAGGATACCAACCTGGACAAGAAGCAAATCTGAAGTTGCCTTGACAGGTAGGAACCGTGAGCGAGGCACATTAATGCCAATTGCCTTGTCAAAAAACTGTTTCCAAGAGACGAACGATTAACAAAAGAAAGCCAATCTCTACTCTCAAAAGACCACTCACAATAGTCCTATGATAATTAATTAGTACCTTGATTGCTGCACCAGCTGCGGTTTCTAGCTGAAGAACTTTGATACCATCAACTTCCTGAAGAAGAACCATGTAATGTTAGCAGCAACCATTTCACACTAGACCAGGATAGCACTAAAGAAAGATGTTCTGTAAGGGGCGGAAAAGAGTATAAAGGGCAGGAAAAGAATGTACCTTGGGGTTCGGAATTATCTCCATTTTCAGAGCATCAGCTTCCACGAGCCTCTTGATAGCATTCAAATTTACCCACCTGATAAAGAATAATACACTTCAGTATTTTTCACTGTTGAAAAAATCAATATGAAAATGTGACGGTACTAGACTGACTTACAAGTTGTTTGTGTTGAAAATTTTGAACTTCTCAATTGACTTGAATTCACCAACCTGTTTTAAGTAATAAAAGTCAACCATAAACTCCAACAGGATATTACAAGCAGCACAAACATCTAAAAGTAGCAACATTCCAGAGACACTCTGCTCCTAATTCCAGATAGCTTCTAGGCAAGTAAACCAACTAGTATGGAATCGGATACAAAAAAAGAAATAGGCCGCCCAAAAAAGTGATCCTTAAACATCATGGGTAATATTCATTCCACTTCACAGAAAAGCCAGAGTGTCCTCCATCACAAGGGTAAAAAAAACACGACAAAACGAACTATAGATGCCTAACTTACATGCTCATCAGGGACCTGTGCTATTTCCAGAAGCTGCACCGCATAAATGGAAATTATTAGCATCAAATTTAAGATCATAAGATATAAAATAGATCTAGCACCATGAAGTTATGTGCGAGATCATATTCAAAACAGCCAAAAAAAATATCATAAGCATGCCACAGTAATTTATTTTCATTTTAAGAAAAGGGTGTCGCTACAAGGGAGATAATTCTTTCCAATGGATGGAAGTGAAGGAGATGTTGATACCTGAACTTTCCCTTCATAAGAAATGAGGGTACCACCCTTAACATCAGCCAATGTCTTGGGTGTCACCTGCACAACCAAATAAACATGAGAAAAAAACCCAAATTAAGCAGTAATGTAAATGAAATAAATGCAATAACTGACAAAGTTGCCAACCTCCATGCAGTATTCATTCTTGTTTCTTATCAAATGACTTAGAATCTCTGAAGGACGAGGTCAAGGAAGAATACATGAAAAAACTTCAACTGAGGGCAGTTTACATCACTGAAACTTCATGGTAATGCCATAATGGACAATTAAAGGAAATCTTAAAGTAACGTCTCTAGATGAACCCAGGATACTCAAATCCACGACAGCTCCAAGGTTGTCAGAGTTGGCAACAAACACATACTCTTTTCCCTGTTCAAAGAAGTATGATATAAGCACAAAATGATACTAGTCAAGTGAAAATTTAATTGCTTTACATGCCACAAAAACCAACCTGAGACAACAATGCATCAAGCTTGCCACTGTTCTTCAAGGATGGGAAAACATCACCATGACCAGGAGGGTACCTTCACAAGCCGAGGGGATCATTAACTCACACACCGAATACGAATAGAAAATTTGAGCATGAAAGCCACGGAGGAAGTATAACACCCAACACTAGATAGATGAGTTTTCTTATAAAAAAAAAGATAGATGAGTTTAAAACCATCATATATTTCAATCACAAAACTACAGGTTTTCAAACCATTGAAAGGTGCAACCAATATTTATATCCCTGTGTTTTGGGGCTTTGTACTTACACAACTCCCTAGAATATAGGGTCCTTGAATGTTATGAGATTCCTATTACGAACAAATGAGGGTAAGAATAATCAACACGGTTAATGCACACCCAGATGAAGTCATAAGTTTGGCAGCAACATGAAAGATATAAGAAAGATTCTATAGTTAGATGGGCGTCCAAATACCGAAATTTGTTGCTCCTTAATAATCGCTTCATCACATTATCATTAAAAAACTGGTTAAATAAGTTGGACAGGTAATCACTAGGTTGATCACTCATCAATAAGAAAATAGATGTAGGAAGCTGCCATGGTTAAAACAAAATTTCAAGAATCACAACAGGTTGACTTGAACCATTCTTTATTATCAACAAAAATTATGCAACGACAAGTTTGAAGATAAAGAATACACAGGTATTGTAGCATGCAAAAGTTTCTAACCGAATATCAACTATCACCACCTACAGTTAGATTGCATAGTTTCTTGATGGACAATTCTTTATCCACATTGGGTTTATTCCCACAAAATCCAGTAAGCAGGCTTCTGAACCAATATGCCAAGGCATTCTAAAAAAACAAAAATAAATAATTAGCAATGTGACAATCATACCATCCATCCTTGCCTGCGTGCCCCTTGCTTGGTAATGGCAAGTAATCCTCAACAACCAAACGGGGGTACTGACTCTGTCAACCAAACGCAAAAGAGCCAACATTTGTTTTAGGCTGTACTTGTAGTTCAGGGAAACAAAATGAGAAACAAATAAAGAACTTTAGGCATAGCCTTTACGAACCTGATTAAATGTATGGATCTCAATATTTGAATTTGTGTACTTCTCCACAATCTGGGTTAACCAAAATTGTCTGATTAGATTGAACATCGATATAAATATCACAGCTTACCAAATGGATAGAGGAAAAGAAGGGGTAAAAAGCAGAGGGAACCTTCAATGTATCATCGTGAGTGTTGAATGAGTTCATCAAAAGCAGAGGGACCTTGCATCCGTATTTGTTATTGAGATTCTACAACAATTCAATAGCACCTATTAGGAAAACAAGGGAAGAAGAATCAAAGTACGCCATAAAAAAAAAGACAAGCAAATGACCTCAATCTGCATGACAATGAGGTCAAGGAACGTCAATCCATTGCGGACTTCAATCACAGATCTGCAGAGATAGGATCACAAATTATGGTCATTGTTAATCTTAATAGATCAAACATTCGCAGCGTAAGGAGCCTTAAATTTCATACTTAGGCCCCGTGCAGCCCATTGTTGTCCCCAAACCACCATTGAGCTTCAGCACCACTAGTTTGTCCAGTAGGCTTTTGGTTTCCGCCGGATCTAACAACAAAGTCACATTATATTACTTCAAACTTTTATTACAGACAGATGGATCATGAATCCAATCTCCAAAGTAAGATATGAGTGAAGGAACCTAGATCATGATTACCATCAGAGAGAGGAGTCAAGGTGTCATAAGGAACCACTATCTCATCGGTAGGTGTCTGAATCTTGCTCCATTCAACATGCTCAGCTTCGCCGCTGTTTCAAATCCTCGAATATGCGACGATTAGAAAGCTAATAGAATGAACTCAAACCCTGAATCGGCGCTATACATATATAACAATCAATCGAGTGGCAGAAAATTTTCCATGCAGCAAAGATCCAGATAGATAACGTTGATGCATTTCGAGATTGTCGCACACTAAGCGTGCGTGGAGACAAGAAATAATCAAGAAACGGAACAATCAATACCTGAGATAGCGAGAGACGAGATTGATGAAGCCATTCTTCTCACTCTCACTGCAGCAGTTTCAGAAAAAAAAAACGACGAAGAAACAAACAAATCCAAGTGAGATTCACAAAATCATAGATCTGAGAACGCTAGAAGCAGGTGCTTTCGTCACAATAGAGAATTTCTTCAAGAATTCAGAGATTCGGAACGGAAAATTCAAAAAGTAGAGTGCCTGATTTGATCGAGAGCGGCTACGGCGGGTTTCAGGGCGGAGAGCTTCTCGGTGGTAGCGGCCATTGCCGGAGTGGATGTGGACGAAAACTAGATCCGATCTCTCTGTATCGAGAAGAGGGAGGGAGGAAGGAAGAAGCAAAGTGTGATTATGTTGTGGGAAAATGTAAGGATGACAATTTATTTATATGATGATTTATATCTATATATATGTGTGCTTGTGCAGCAGAGAGAAGAAAGCGGGGGATTGAGAAGATAAATGGTTTTGTAAGAAAATGGGATGGGGATTCGACCAAACGATGCCGCTTGAGACTTGAGCAGAGACGGAAGCAAGCAAAACACCCACGCAGAATTCTAGATGGGAAACGGTCGAGCTGTCAATCCCAGATGAGATTAGGACGCTAGGCGTGTAGAAGACTGTGGGAGCGGGAATATTACAAGTTTACAACCGAATATGACGCCCTGCCAAATAAATTAAAATTACAAAATACCAGAAACACAAGTTTTCCATAGGGGCATTATGGAATATGGGAGCGGTTACGGTGAGTACTTTTTTATAGTAATCACCGTGGTTACTAAGGGTAAATTGGGTATGGAAAAATAAATTATATTAATTAATTTTTTAATAAATTACATTTAAGACAGTTACAAAAATCTATTAATTAAAAATCTCTCTTTCTCTCACTTCCGTAATCTCCAGCCAGATTTCCTTTCCATATTTTTCTCAATCTTTCTGCCAAAAAAAAAAAAACCGAAATCAGTACCAATCCATTAGACAAACACTACCACTTTGAAAAATATCAATACCATTGCTTTAATAAATCTATACCATTACACGAAAACTACCATTGCAGAAATAAATTTATACCATTACACGAAAACTACCATTCAAGAAATAAAAACACTACCATTTCACAAAACATCAATACCATTCAAGAAATAAAAACACTACCATTTCGCAAAACATCAATACCATTGCAGATTTAATCACTACCAATGCGACAAAATCGATACCAATGTAACAAAATCAATACCAATGCGACAAAATCAATACCAATGCGACAAAAACTATACCAATACGACAATAACACTACCACTACGAAAAAAATGACTACCATTTAAAAAAAATGACTACTGAAAAAAAATGACTAGATCTCCGTGATTGGAGGGCGCTAAAGGTGGAAGGGGGAAGAAAGACATAATGGAAAATCCCAAAAGAAGGGGGAAAGAATCGAACATTAACGGTAGTTGATTTGCATAATTGGGTTTGATTTAGAGGGAGGAAGAATAATAGTCCACTATTGGATTTTCGTTAGAAAGAAGAGTTGGGTTCATCAACGAAAACGGGAGGCGAAGGAAGAGAGCCGCCGTCCGGAGTGAATTCCAGGCAAATCGGGAGCCTCCGCCGCATCTCTGAATCTGAAATGAAAACAAACGGAACAAATTGGAAGTCGTCATGTGTTTGCTCAGTTGAACCAGGCTTCTTATAAAGCGTTCTCGGTAGTCCCTTGTAGCCTTTGTGCAAGTTGTGATGTTTGTTCAATATATAGTCCAGGTATTGGGATCTAGTAAAGAGGAATCTTTCATGATGCAGGAGTGGTAGATTGGGGGCAAAGTTAATGTTTTATGGTTCTGGGTTGAAGGCTTCGGCAATAATGAAAGAGGAAGAAGATGACGAAACAAAGAAGAGATGGGCAAAATTGTAACCTTCACTTACTTATTAAATCCGTGATTCATTCTTAAACATGTTATTTGGACCAAATCCTACTCATAAAATATATGGATTTTTAGTTGAAAAATTTTAGACCAAATCCCTCACGAGTCCTTCAAAATCAAATTCCTCATCCAAACAACTCCTTGGTGTTTTTTGTCTGCTTTAGAATATTTACGATTTGCATTAGGAGGTTTATGGTGTGCTTTAGAAATATTTATAGTATGGTTAATGGTCTTTTTTTAACATTTGTGGTGTGCTTCATTATATTTATGAACTTCTTTATGAGATTTCTTGTATATGCTTTATGAGATTTGTGACTTACTTTTTTGTGTTTATTGTTTGTTTCATCTCTCATCCCGCAACTAAAAAAAATCAAACACTTGCGAATGGTTATTAAGGAGTCTGTATGTTTGTCTGGGAACACCAGATTGTGGATAATGTATGTTGATCACTCATGAAATCATGCATTGCTTGAAAGTCAAGAAATAAGGGAAAAGGAGTTATATGGCTCTAAAGGTTGATATGGAAAATGGCCATGATAGGGTGGAATGACCCTTTTTTTGTTCGCAATCATGGCTAAGATGAGTTTCTGTCATAGATGGATTGAGTGGATTCGGGAATCCGTATCCACAACCTCATTTTTAGTGTTAATGAATGGTACGTGGCATGCTATTTTCGATTGACTAGAGGTTTAAGACAAGAAGATCCTCTATCTCCCTGTTGTTTGTGCTCTGCTCAGAGGGGTTTGCGGCTCTTCTATGAAAGGAAGTACATGAAAAACGATTGGCAAGCATTAAAGTTAGTCCACGAAGTCCAAGTGTATCCCGTTTATTTTTGCATATGACTCATATCTGTTCTGAGAGGTTCTCCGGCGGAATGTGAAATTCTACTGGCAGTTCTGCAGGAATATCAATTGTTAAATGGTTAGAAGGTGAACTTATAGAAATCAGCGGTTTGTTTTAGTGAAAATATAGAGGAATCACAGAGACAAGAAATGGCTCAGATTTTGAAAGTGGAAGCTATTGACATTCAAGATAAGTATTTGTGGTTGCCATCTCTAGTTCATAGATCAAATATGGAGACATTCAGGTTTTTGGAGGAGAAATTGCTCTCGAAACGACAAGGCTGGAAACAGAAACATTTGTCCTGGGCAGCGAAGGAAACCCTTTTGAAAGCGGTAGCAGCGGCATTACCAATCTATGTCATGGCGTATTTCTTATCACCTAGAATGATTTTTTGGAAGTTAGATAAGCACAAGGCCAGATTCTGGTGGGGTTTTACTATGGAGGGGTAGAAGGCTCATTGGGTTTCTCGGAGAAACTTATGTTGAAGGAAACACAACGGGGGACTCGGATTTTGACGTTTTGAACTCCTTAATCAGGCTTTGCTGGCGAAGGTTACATGGAGGATATGGAAAGAACCGGATTCTCTATTGGCTTGAGTCTTAAAAGGGAAATATTCCTCGCAATCTAGGGATTTAGAATCAACCTGACACTCGAGACCCTCCTGGGTGGATTAGTATTCTTCATGGCTGGGATCTATTGGTGGAAGGATTGCGATGGCAGATAGGTGGAGGGTCGAAGGTTCGGATAGTCGAGGATAAATGGATACGAGGTATTTCTCAGACTTTGATAGTAGTGTTGTCGACGATGCCAATTAATCCAGCCGGGACAAACAGTAGATGGGTTGATAGAGCCAGGATCAGAGCAGTGTGATGTATGTTAAGAGCATTGCTTTCTGAGGGAGATAGTTAAGGAAATTCAAAGTACTGTTTTGAAAAAAAGCCCGGTATGGGATCGACTCCTTTGGGAGATGGAGCTGACGAGAAGGTATCCGGTTAAAACCGAATATCTTTTAGCACTACAACTGAGTCAATGTCAGTAAGGGTGGAAGGAGGAAGTACCTTTCTTTGATATGACCTTTTGGAAGAAGATATGGGGATTCCATGTTCCTCCCAAACTCAAGTTCTTTATCTGGCAAGTAATGCACCGTATACTTCCTAAGACAGAGGCAATTATAAAAAAAGGGGGAAATTGCCAGCCGAGATGTACAGTTTGCTGGGCACCCTTAGAAACTACGGAACATATGTTTTTGTATTGTAGGATGGTGATAGGGTTGTGGGCTAGGGTGGGTTTGGAGGATATGATGAAACTCATGTCAATTTTGCGCTATTTTTCAGGAAATATATAGAGCGGGATGAGACTCGAAAGAGGATTCTTTCATTTTTTTTGGCTTTGCTGTGGAAAATATGAAAATCTAGAAGTTGGGTGATGTTTGATCATATAAAGTATACTATGAAAGCTTTGGTTCAACACTCAGGTCAATGAATGGCTTGCGTTGCCCATGCATGTTGTTCCGCCAGCTGATGGAAATGTAACTCGTGAAGAGGATAATGATGGAGAATGTAACTTTTTAGGATGTTATGTAGCTTGGGCAGCAAGACAGGGATCGCATACGACAGGAGAAGAGATGGTGCAAGATGTGACATGTAGTATTATTTATGATAAGGGTTTTTAGTATGTAGGTTTACGAGATCCTTGATTGGTGGAATTTGTTGCGTTGCGAGATGCAATTCGATGGAGTTGTTTGGTGGGACTATCAGAGTTTACTTCCTATAGTGATGCAAAGAGGTTGTTAAAAAGGTAAAAGAGAAGGAGATGCATGACATTAGAGGAGGTGCGCTGCTAGAGGAAATCGCGCAACTTCGTCATTAGTATAATTTGTTGGAAGTGTAGTTCGTCGGCAGGAGAAACAATCGGGTCACCCATTTGGTGGCTAAGAATTCTCTTTCTTTGTAACCTGAAAGTGTTGAGACTTCTGATTTTCGAATTTGGTATGTTCATATGGTGTAAACTTTTGTTATCTTTCTTCTTAGTAATACAAGTGAGATATGGACAAAAAAAATTAAAAAACTTGTATAATTAATTAAGAATATCACTCTTTAATGGTAGCTCTATTATGTCCTGCTCCTATTCGGATGAATAATATATTCCACAATATATAGATAATTACATATGAACCAATTGTTGGAAATTGAATAGATGATGATTATGCACTGTTGTATATTAATATATGCGTGTGCTATCGGATAAACTAATCCATAGCTAACTAGTATGTGAATTGTTATGTCTATAATAATTAATCTATCTTGATCTCAACAAAGAGATTGATTGCTTACCTTTTTTTCTTTTGATCATCGGGGATACCACGTAAATCGTTGTGTTTTCCGTTTCGTTTAAATTCGTTTTGATATTCTGCTTTTGCTAACATCAGCTGTCGTCGGTTGCTTCGACTGTTACCAAAGGATGTAAAGAAGTGGTTAAGTACCATACATAGGCATGTATAAGATCCAGCATAACCTTCTCTCAACAACTCGAGTTATTGGGACCAACTGGTTTATGACATGGTATCAGAGCTGGTTTGTCCTTGAGGTCGCGTGTTCAAGTCCTCACCCCCAATATTAACCGTTGTCTTTCAAGCACATGGTATGGCTGGCCTTTGCAAACTTCAAGCACATGAGTCGGCTTTCGTTTGAGGAGGCATGTAAGGAAGTGGTTAAGTACTATACATGGGCCTGTATAAGATCCATCATAACCTTCTCCCAACAACTCGAATTATTGGGACCAACTAGTTTATGACAAAGGAAGGACAGACTACTCTTTTTTTTTAATGGTAGGACAGACTACTCTTGACCGCCAACAATAGGGGGACATATCGGGTTATTAGGAGGGGGCTACTCTTAACCCACCGCTTCCTCGTCTCTGATCCTTCCTCCTCCGCCAAATCTAATGAAAAGGGCGAGCTTGGTGGTGAAGATGAAACACGACATCTTGATTATCTATTTGGGTTAATTGCATGGTTGGTCACTGAGATTACAAAAAACGTTCATGTTTGGTCACCGGAAATATTTAGGCAAAATACACTTGTATAGCCAAAACTTCCGCGTTTGTGCCAATAATAGCCAGTTTTGAAGAAATACCACTTATAGCCAGCTTTTAAAGTTTTCGTGGACAAATGTAGCCATTTCCGTCAGATACTTTAACGGTGTTAATAACACCGTCAACTTATTTGACGGTTCGCTGACTAGGCGCCAAATCAGCAGACACATCAGCGCCAAATAAGCAAACAGTGACACGTCAACGCCAAATAGAGCGACAAATCATCATATCACTCCCACGTCATTTCGAATTATAAAAATAATTAATTTTAAAAACAAAAAAAAGAAAAATATTTTTTTTCTAATTTTTTCCTATTCCCTATCAATCGTCTCCCTCCTCCATGGCGACGGAACAGATCCGGGAAGATCCCGCTTCCTCCTCCACCGCAAACCCCCCTGCAGCATTGCCAATGAAAAGAGAGGATTTCTCTAGTTTCTCCATCTCCTTCAAGTGACCAACCCACCCCTCTCCTGTCGTTTTCTTCCTTCCTTCTTCTTTGTCTTCTTCTGTGGCCAACATCACCTTTCACAATTTCAATTTCAATTTCAATTAGGGATTAAAGTTTTTGACAATCGACAGCGCAACAGGTAAGGGGGGATTCCGCGGAAGGACACTCATTTCGGAAGCCTCACCAGCAAGGTAGAGCCTCACCAGCAACCGATTCAAGGGTCTTCATCCGGCGATTGATTGATTTCGGCTCCAAGCGGCAGTCAGGTTGTCATGGATGGGGATCGGAGCCTTGCAAAAATGAAAACAAAAGAAATAAAGATATGGAGGGGATCATCGACGCAGTAGGCATAGATTGTGAAGGAAGGGATGAGCTAGGGAAGAGGAAGAAAGCGTATTCAGAACGGCTGCTGCAACGATACAAGGAGGGGATGCGAAGCCACTCGAGAGGAGTGAATCTTGCGGCGGTGGCGGTGGTGGTGACGAGCTGCGGTGGGGTAGCGGATGTAGGTTGGCCGGCGCAAGGATTGAGGTCTGTTGAGGAGAAGAAGCGGAGATTAGGATAGGGAGCGTGAGATTTTTCCGTTGGTTTATTATTATTTTATATTTTATTTTATAGTAAAAAATATTAAAGAATTCCACATAAGTATTATTAGTTGCCACGTCATCATTTCTGTTAGTTCACTCAATCCGTTAGATGACACCGTCAAAGAATTAAACGGAAGTGGCTATAAGTGGTATTTCTTCAAAACTGGCTATTATTGACACAAACGCGAAAGTTTTGGCTATACAAGTGTATTTTGCCAAATATTTAAATCCAATTTTGGTCACTCAAATTAGTTAAATGGTTCAACTTTGGTCACTCTCCGTCCAACTCCGTTAACTCTTGCTTATGTGGCAGTCAACTTTTATAGTTGACCGTTAAAAGTGTGACATGGCAATTAAAAAATAATAAAATAAAGTTAATTTATTTTTTTATATTTTTCACCTCTAACTGAAACAGAGGTGGCAGCTGACCGACCGTCACTCCCTGCCATCCTCCAATTCTCCTCGCCACCTTCCTCCGACACGTTCCGCCGACGCCGAGATCTCACCGTTCAGTTGAATGGAACCAGACCAGCCTAATATTCTACCCAAGCTCACACGGCATCGTATTGCTAACTATTACTAACTCTTTAGATTTCAGCTTAAAGAATAAAAACACCTTTCCTTGTTCCCTGTTCTTCGACTCACTCAAGAACAGAGTAATTCACTTCATAACACAGCAGAAATGCAGAGAGTAAATTAAACAAGGAGACCAGGATTTTTACGTGGTTTCCGGTGAAGGGATGAATTCGAATCTCAACACCGACTAGTCCACGGTCAGAGATTCACAGATTTGTGATCTATGACGTTCTACTATAAATAGGAATTCTCGGTTTGAACAGTTTACAGATTTCAGAAACTTGGCTCAGTCGGCTCCCCGCTTGATTGAGACTTCTTAGTAACCACTCCCTATCAACTACCCTGCTGATAGAATCCCGATATACCTATATCGACTCAGAAACAAACCCCTGTTTCTATAACCCCCTTTTCTCTCGAGATCTCTCCAATAAAGCCCTTTGTAGTTCTCTGTCTCTTCTTGAAAAGGTGTGTCTCTCATTGTTGTTGTACCCTTTTTATACTGTATCACCATCTTAAGCCTTCAAGACATTATGTCGTTGCTTGATTGCCTCCCTATGGAGTGTAAATTGATTTTCTTTCCTTCTTGGCTAGGTAGCAGTTGGAAATAGAGTGGCAAGACCTCCACTTTCTTTTCTTGTAGTGATTTTGCTCGGTGCCTAGCTGCACAGCCTTGGCAAGCTACACTGATCATGCTCCTCGAGATATTTCCAATACTGGCTGCACCAACAAACGTGATCCCATCAGTGCTCATAGGTTAATCGCGAAGAAAACCAATTGAAGAAGGCATATTTCTTCTTCTCTTCGCTCCGGTCGGCCTCATAGAACTGGTCGGCGCCGAACGACGAGGCGAAGGGTTTAATCCCACTGGTCCCGAGCGCGATTAGTGAGAGCCGAGTAGAGGAAGGAGGCCTAACCATCGATCGCCTTCGAGCAAGGCCGAGCTGTGTATAGCGGAGGCTGCAAGCCGTCAACAAAGGCGGAAACGGTCGGTCAACAATCAGCTTTACCATCCCCTATTTCGGTTAGAAATGAGGTGGAAATACAAAAATTAAATTAAATTTATTTTATTATTTTTTAATTGCCACGTTGCACATTTAACGGTCAACTATAAAAGTTGACTGCCACATAAGCAAGAGTTAACGGAATTGGACGGAGAGGGACCAAACTTGAATCATTTAACTAATTTGAGTGACCAAAATTGGATTTAAATATTTCCGGTGACCAAACATGAACGTTTTTTGTAATCTCAATGACCAACAATGCAATTAACCCTTTATTTATTTATTGGATTTTTGTGTAGTTTAATTTAATTTTGATTTTAAAAATCTTATGTGTCAATGTAGTGTTTACGTGGCTGCCACATTTTTGCCCCATCATCAATAGTCAACTTCATTTTGACCATCATCTGTCAACCATTATCTCTAATGGTCAACGAAAGCGCTAGATACAAATGACACAAAAGTATTATAAAATGAATAAAATAAAACACAAGTAGCATATTTTTTACCGTTTGACATCAGAAAAACAGATGGAATGGAAAAGAAATGGCAGGCCGTGAGAGGTGAAAACCCTATGTTGCAACTCACTTCTGATCAACATAATAAACCCACAAAAACAGAAGCAGAAACAAAGAGTAATAAATAAGAATCATTTTTAGCAAAAGAAGATGGTACAAACTACAAACACTAAAATATTACAAATGCTGATAAGTTGAATTAAACAAATAGCACAAAAGTCTCCCATTCTGATCGGGCAACCCATTATCTGTTCCACCACCACTGAGCAAGTTACTAACCCGCTCGCCCGAGGTGCCTGCTGGGAAAAACAATCTCGGTCACTTCAACAGCTGAAAGTGGTGAACCTCAGGGGGTTGCCCTCTTCCTGAACTCAGGACTTGTGGAGCTTGAACCCAAAAACCCTTGGTACATAACTCTGTGTTGCCTTCTGTGGCTTCAAATGTCCATACGTCATCAGAAATAGGTGAGGAAATGTTGTCCCGAAGTATGCTCCATCAAGGTCTGTGCATACGTTAAGAGAATACAGCAAACCAATTTTCCAGCAAGATACGCAGCACAAAAAGCAAAAGTGGCACAGAAAAAAAAAGCGATAGAACAATTGTCAAATAATAACAAAGGATACTGCCTTGATACTTTGATCGAGGGTAATAAATGTCTTCACATTTCGGGCAGTAAATTTTAACAGTACTTGAACGAGGAATATCGGATTGGCCAACTGGAAGGCAGGGCTGCCCGCAGCAGTAAACTCTAGGGCATCTCCCGAAGTCGTAGTTCTTGTACTTCTCTAGCTGTACGTGTTTTTGCACAACCAAACTTGCAACTAAACCCAGGAGAAGAAGGAAAACTGAAAACTAAAAGGTATGGAGGATAATAATTCAGCAAAAAGCCTATACCATTGCAGCCATGCCCTTGCTAGTGAGAACATAACGCACGTGAATTAGACCATAAAGCATCTCTGCTGCTGACTCCACCAACTCGTTCTGCTCTTCAGTGAACATATCACCTGCACAAAAACCCATCATAGGCGCTAAATATAATGTGGGGTGAGAGCCCAAAAAGAGAAAGGAAAAAGAGGCAGGGGACGGCGGGGGCATTTGCACCCAGATCAACACTCGCATCACAAGAGAATAGCAGACAAACCAAGACAGTGATTTAAAGAAGGAAGAGAAGAGGTCAAACTCAAAAGTTGTTTTCTGCTTAAGAGAGTATCTTCTGCACTAAACCAACCTTTTAAGTCTCAGCCCAAGAATATGTTATTTGTTTCCGCATCAAGCCTCGTAAGTCCAAACCACCCTATTAACTTATATCGTTTTGCAGCAATGTTTAGATCAAGCACAAAAACCAAGTAGGGCAAGTCCCACTAATGGATTTACTTAATGATTCTGTGTCAGGAAAATAAGTTCACTACAAATGGCCACGCACTACTTACACAGCTTGTCCAAGGACCAAGGTTATGCAACCCAAAGAAGAAGAAAATAGGAGAAAGGAAATTAACAAAGTATTCTTGCAACTACACACAATAGAATATGATTTCGCATTTGAGTACTGGGCACTGCTGCAGGTTAGCAAGGGTAAAATATAAATTGGTAAAGTTCAGTTACTCCTAGAATAACTGACAGAAACAATAAAATTGAAACTCATATGTTAGAGATGAACCTCACGAATTCAGCAAAGCTTACCGTGAGAAGATTCCACGTCCAATATAAGATCAAGTGCATAATCATAATACGGAACTTGACTGCTCAACCCACAAAGATTAAAATCATCTTGAATGTATTCATCGTCCACTTCAGAGAAAAATTCATTTCCTCGAAGATTGCAGAACCATGATATCCAGGATGTGTCATCCCCCTCGGAACCACTTACATCTGACTCTTCACTATCCGTCTCAGATTCCTCTGCAGTTCACCAAATATTAGCCATGTCAGGAATGTAATGGTTAAAGCTCCAACATCATGGCAATAGAAGAGAGAGATGAATATCAACTGGCAACCAGCCATGACACAACAACCTGTTCAAATTAGATCAGCCCCTGGAATCTAATTAAATCAGAACACTATTGATTAAGTCGCACACAAGATTATATTAGGAGGAGCGATAATTGAAACAAAATGAATTCATTCACTATGCTTCTTTACAAAGGATCAGATCAAGCAAGTTTCGATCCGGAAAAAGAAATCAAAGTAGGCTTACTCTACACTATCCTCCTCAGGGAAAGGAGGAAGTCCATCAACTTCATGGAGGAGGCATGAAGAAGAGTGATGTGTAGTGGCAGCCGTAGGCTTTCTATTGTTGTGATGAACCAAAACGTCAAGGAAATAGGCATAATAAATGAATTCAGTTTGTGTCTATAGTAATTGACTCTATATTTCCTCCTCATCTAATCCTATGAGTCCAACTTAATTGCAAGTATTCCGATTTAATTGAACGCATGAAGGACGCAGAGCAAAGGACAGTAATCTACTCATAAGAAATGGATAAAAAGAGTAAAGGTCACCACATTGTTATGGATTAGCAATCCATTCGTCCCTTTAGACAATGTGTTGTTGAAACATGAAAGAAGCTAACGAGTGTAATATCGCCTAACATGATTTTAGGTTCCAGACGACATGAAAATGATTATGTTCCATGCGAAGAAGTATAACGAAAAGGAGGAGTCGTGAAAGTGTAGAGGCCAAAATGACAGCAATTCATCAATGCATGAATCATTTCCAAAGGAACCCACTAAAGCCATAGATATGCAGTTGAACAACAATTCATGAGTCAAGATGACAGCTTCCCTAGTTCCTACCCACTGTTGAATTAGCAATCTTGACAGAAAATTCAAATTTATAAAAACAACAGAAACATTTCTAAAAAAAAAGTGGGCAAATGTGTTCGGTCCAGGCTAATAAAGAATGAGAGAAGCAGAAAACTGACCCTACGGAGGTAAAATTCCAATAATCTGTTTCGCCAGCATCAATCAGAAAACTTACCATCGGAGCACTTGTTCTTGGATAGAGAAGCTGGTCGAGAATCGAGCTGCGATTTGCCCGCGGATGTGGATGGCACGGACAACCTCTCTTTGTCCTTGCCCCTCGAAGTTGATGGAGACGATTTCTGTAGGTGCTTGTCGAGCGCATCGTTTATGCGCTTCCGATCGACGGGTCCTCCTACAAGCTCCGATCTCGATGAAACGCTGCCGGCTCCTCCCCGATCCCGGTGATACATAATTTTCTTTCTATTAGGCACACTTGAGAATGCGAAGCGCTAATCTGTACCTCTCTCGACCAAAGCCTCAAGCCTTAGAGCGCCAACATGATTAGAGATGAAAACGGTAGAGGGAGGTAAACCCTAGATTGAAGAAGTTGGGGTTTGCCAAGGGAATTGGAAGGAAAGAGACCCACGAGGGTAACCCAGATAGAGAAACAGAACGAGTGTGAGCCGTAAGGCAGGACTGGTCGAGTCGAGTCCGGTCGAAAATATCAGAATAAGGATTTTTTTTTTTTTGCCGCTTTTTTTACCGTCAGAATAAGGATCTAATTACACGAATCAGCTCTCTGGCCGGAAAATAATAGACAAAATATATATATACTTTAATAGTCACAACTTTCACAAACAGATATAGTTAAAAAAAAATTTCAAAATACACAAAACAGCCAGAATTTTGATAGTTGTTTAACAAATTTAGCCATTTATGTTATAGACTTTAACAACGTTAGAGATTCCGTTAGTTAGGTTAACGACATGCTAACAAAGATGCCAAATTGACGCACACATCAGCGACAACTCAGTCTCACTTGCTACGTAGATGCCACGTCATAATGTACTTTAAAAATATTTTAGGCAAAATACACTTCCATAGCCACAACTTTCACGTTTGTGACAATTATAGCCACAACTTTTGAAATACAAGAAATAGCCCGAATTTTTATGGTTTTTTGACAAATCTAGTCATTTCGTTACACACTTCCGAAATACATGAAACAATGGCGACCCTGTCCTCGATTTCCAGAATACAAGAATCAAGCCATTTCCGTTACACACTTTTGAAATACAAGAAATATCCAGAATTTTGATGGTTTTTTGACAAATCTAGCGATTTCCGTTAAAATTTCATTTGAATTGAGTTGAACCAAATGAATTTAACATACTTTTGGTCAGGTTCATGTCTTCAACTTTTCTTTAATTTTGGTCTGGTCCTATATCAATTTGATCTTGTTCTAGACGTAATCAACTAATACCCACCTTAACATGTTTATAACTTTCAGTGTTCTATTATTCAATTTTCAGAGCATCAAACATAATTATTTTGTTTAGACTATGCATAGAAAATAAATAAGACCATCTGAAAAACAATGGACCAAACTGGACTACACAACTTGGTTATGATAATAAATTGTTAAAATGATTTAGTTTGGTTCATGATCGTTATTATCATAATATATTTTGATCTCTTGGTCTGGTCCAGACCGCGATGTACTGTACTGAACCATGAATCGAGCCCACTTTCACAATTCATGTTAACACCCTCGCTCACTTTTCCCACTCCTAAGTCCTAACGAGACCAAGTCTCAACACTAATTTTGTGAACCTTGTTGCAGCACCCCATTGGCCTTACAGATGGATCCGTATGATAATAGAAGGTTGAGAGGCGCACCTTTTATTCCGCCTCCTGGTAATACCAAAATTGGTATTATTTACCCTACATATCGAGGTATGTTTTGTGCCAATTCATGTGCTTAAATGTTTAAACATCGTCAAATACATCCATATTTTGTTCCTATTTGATTTCGATGTGATTTTAGGGTGTATTAGTCGATATGTGCGAATTAGGTACAAAACAAGGTCACAAGTGTAGAAAAGTGGCAGGAAATGAAGATCACGGCCTAGAAGCTGAAGATCACGGCCGGGATACATAGATCGCGACCGCAATCTTGGAGGCTTTGGGCACGAACTTCGCGAGGGAAGAGCTTTGGTGATAACCCCCAATGTGGGTGGTTTGGATCAGAGAAGCACAGCGTGGATTCAATCAAAAGATTGGATCGAACTTCGGTAAGAACGAACACAAAAATAGAGTTTTGTGCTTGTTTTGGGATGGTGATTTCATGCAACCTTCTCAAAGGGAAGAGAGGCTAAAAAACTTAGGGTAGATGCTTGGCCACGAACAGTGGGAATAACTGAACGATACAAGCTCGAAAACTCACCTAGTTCATCTAGGAAGTTCTCCAAATTCACAAAGCAAGATGCTATGGAACCACAACCTCACGGTTTATTCAACTCAACTTGAAAGCTGAAAATTATAACGAATCAAAGCTACTTAAATAGACCTAGCCAATCCTACTACTCTTAGAGAAGTCCTAAACAAATTGGAAAAGGAAATCAAAACCAACAATGAAAAGGAATTAAACACAAAACAACAAAGGAATCCTAATCCGATAAGGATTCGGATTGCCTGTTTTCCAAAGATAGAAACTCAGCTTCGATACGATCTTTGGAGCTTTCGTTCGAGGCCTTCCATTCTCCATTCTAGTCATCCAACGCCATGTCGTTGTAGTAGAAGAAACCTACTTTCATGAGGTATGATTCTTGAAGCTTCACTCTCATGCCATCCCTTCGATTGAGGCTTTCAAAGTTCCTTCCCGAACTCATTCCAACACTTAGAATATTTTGACAGTTTTTCCCATGTTGAGCTAGGAACTTGATCGACCTAGAAATCACTATTCTGGGCTTCCTCTCGAGCTTCTTGATCAATCAATTCCAGCTTGATTGAGTGCCCATTTGGGATCATACCAGTCCCTCCCCCATAAAAAAAAGCTTTGACCTCAAAGATTTGGCCCTTCCTTCCTCATATGACTCACAGAATTGATCCCAAATGGGGGTCTGAAAATGGCTTCCCCAGCTCGCAATTGTGTAAAACGAGGTCAGTGTTCTTCATGTGCAAAATTGGGGCTTTCGCATTTAGGGATTCGCAATTCAATTCAAGGCCACCTAATAGCTTCCTCTTGCTTCGAATTGAAGTTCTGGACGTGTCTCGTGGCTCGAATCATCGATTTCGTCGTCGAATCGTCGTCATTTTTCTTCCCGCCATCGTCGAAGTTCAAACTCTTCGAATCCAAAAAAATCCAATTGAAAATTGGGCGTTTTAGAAAGAGGGATCTCTGGGTGGAATGGACGCGTCTGAGAGCTTTCTGTGATCACCCTGAATGATTCTGCATCAACCAATTGCTTCGATTCATCCCCACTCGCTTCAACCCATAGACTCGATTTTTGGTCGAGTTGGCTCGTTTCCAGAGCAATTTCTGACTGAATTGGATTCAGCAATCCAGGTATATTCGTCCCAATCCAGCTTTCATTTGAGCTTCCTGGCGCAATTTGGAACGTGCCTGCAGTCGCCGTTTGGGTCAACTCTTCGCCAGTTTCTCCGACCAATTCACTCTCTCTCCTGCTCTGCTCCAGCAATGGTTGGCAGGGTCGGCGGCGACAGATCTTCCTTTCTTTCTTGTACCCAGTCAACATGTATCGCCGAGTGACAATAGTGGCGGTTTTGTCTCCCTCGTCGGACTTACCTCTTAATTAACCTTTAGATCGACGTTGTATGGCTTCAAGCTGTCGTCGATCTTCTCTGACTTCTTTCAGTGATAGGGGCTTCAGCAGAACCTCCTTCCCCTTGTGCCGAACTTTGTAGTAGTTCGACCCTCCGTAGTGGCATGCACCTCGGTCGAATTGCCAGGGCCTCCGAGAAGTAAATGCGCAGCTTGCATCGAGGCGACGTCAAATTCGAGCTCGTCGTGGTAAGCTCCAATTTCAAAATTCACTCGTGCTTGGCTTGACACTCGAATGGCTCCGTAATCATTAATCCAATGCAGGTTATAAGGGTCTGGATGCCTGGTAGTTTTTAATCCGAGTTTGTCCACATCATCCTGGATGATCACGTTGGCACAACTGCCTCCGTCAACGATTACCGACAAGAGTTTTCCGGCAACCAAACAATGAGAATGAAATAAGTTTTCCCTTTGGCTCAGGTTTGGTTGCGTTTCAATGGTTAAAGCCCTTGGATTAACAGTTAGAAGTGTGCCAGGTGGAGGCTCGGCTTCAATTTGCTCATCAACTTCCTCGTCACTGGAATTTTGCTTGTCGTCGGTGAGAAACTCATCGTCTCTGATCACCAGAGCCTTCAAGTTAGGACACTGGTTGGCTTTGTGCCCTCTTCTGTGGCACTTGTAGCATTGTATCCTTCCAAAGCGTTCATTAGAGGTTGGTTGAGCGTTTCTGGGATTCAATTTTCCTGAATCGGGTCGTAATTGTTGGGATTAGCTTTGACATTGTTCTTTGTAGTCAATTTGCTCACTAGAGTACCGTTCCTTGCCCCTTTTTTGCTGTTTTTCGACCTTGATTGCAAGGTGTAAGACGTTCTCCCATCGACGAATGCTCTGAGCTCAACCTCCTGCCGGATTTCCCTGTTTAATCTGGGGAGAAAACGGGCGATCGTGGTTTCTCTTTCCTCTCTGACGTCGGCGTGCATCATCAACAATTCCATCTCTTGGAAGAATTCCTCTAGCTCCGCGTTCCCTGTCGAATTCCTTAAAGGGATTCATAGAGTTCCCTTTGATAGTAGGCAGGAACGAACCTGTCCCTCATTAATCTCCGTAAATCCTCCCATGTCACCACTGGATTTCTCAGGTTTTACTGCCGGCGACGTTGAAACTGTTCCCACCACTGGGCAGCATAATCTGTGAACTCAAAAGTGGTCATGGCCACTTTCTGGGCCTCGGTGAATTGACCACACTGAAAGAATAAGATAATTTTCCTTTCCCAGTCGAGGTACGATGAAGGGTTCATCGTTCCCTGAAACGACGGTACTGCCAACTTGATTCCTGGTGGTACTGCCTCCTCCACGTCGTACTGCCGATCGCGCCGATCGCAATGTTGGCGATCTTGTTGAGGTTCAACGACGATCGGATACCGCTCCATCTCAGCGACTCGATTCAGCAACTCTGGATCGCCAACCGGGTTCTCTCAACCGATGACTGCTCCTGCTTGAAAATCATTCTCAGGCGGCGTTAGAGCCTCGAATTTTGGTCAATTTTGCATTTAAACTGACCCAGCTGATCCTGGATTTTAGTATGGAACCTCTCCCCAATGCAATCTAGTAGTTTTTCCATGTCGAACACCTGTCATGCCATGGTTGTCTGTTTCTTCTTCTTTGTTGGTTCTGAAAACACTGATTCAGGGTCGTCAGAAACAGACCCTTTTGACCTCGTTAAGGCCGTCGTAACAACGACGTTATCCTCCATTGTGGCATCAGCTTTGAACCAGGCTCGTGATGCCACTTGATAACCCCCAAGGTGGGTGGTTTGGATCAGAGAAGCACAGCTTGGATTCAATCAAAAGATTGAATTGAACTTCGGTAAGAACGAACACAAAAACAGAGTTTTGTGCTTGTGTTGGGATGGTGATTTCGTGCAACCTTCTCGAAGGAAGAGAGGCTCAAAAACTTAGGGTAGATT